TCACGCTCCTCCTTCTCCCACTGGAGACGAGCTAACCTCACTTTCAACCTGGCATCTAATTTAGAACCAGTATGAGAGGACTCACCCAACACAAGGGAGGCCATACTAAACACACAAACTCATTTGCAACTACTCGCCAGCTACAATTAGATCACCTCACTCAACAGGCAAAATATCTGAGGCTACACAAACATTGACTCTCGTCTTCCAAATAACAAACTTCCCCAGATCCTGCCTACCACAACTTACCTAACTATCTTCTGGAGCGTGCCGGGCTCGAGGCGACTTTAAAGGCAAACATCAGCGGCCGAAACCCTGAAACGCCTGCCCCCCAACAGGGACTAAATCCCCACCCAGGATTACCCCGAAAGAGAGAGAGAGTGTGTGTGTGGTGTGTGTGAGAGAGAGTGTGTGTGTGGTGTGTGTGAGAGAGAGTGTGTGTGTGGTGTGTGTGAGAGAGAGTATGTGTCTGTCTGTCTGTCTGAGAGAGAGAGAGAGAGAGAGAGAGAGTGTGTGTGTGTGAGTATGAAATGAACAGTTAGAACTGACTGCTGTCAGTTGGAGTGATGACATCATCGCGTTCCATAACACAGGTGTTGATATTTGAGCTAACGAGGTGTGCAGAGATCACAGGCTTCATTGTTTTGAATGAGAGATAAACCTCTTACATGTGAACGTTTTGTGGAAGAACGATAACAGATATCTGTGAAATTTCAAAACGTGAAGCATGTCAAGGAAGTTGAGTATCTGAAGTGTAATTTTTGTGTACTTTCGGGTTAATAATGTGGCCTTTTTGGCAGTTTAAGAAAGGTGTGCGGCTGCTGCTGTGAGGAAATATCTGCCTGAAATTACAATGGGCGTTAATGGAGACATGTTGAACGTTTTTGTCACTTCATGCCCTCAAGAGGCATTTTGTTTAATTATTTTGTTTAATTATTTGTCATTTTTCAAGCTACGAGATGTTTTCCTACGTTTATCATGAAAAACTATGTCTCAAGAATGTAGGGTTTGGGAATTATGGCAGTTTTAAAAAAGTATATGAAGGCAAATTTCAAGATTTCTCACCCTCTAGCTGTGACATCACGCACTCTAGTTAATGTTAAAATCTGAAGAAAACCTCTTTAACAAGGTCTGAACAATGTTTAATATCTCTAAAAGTAAGAATCAGATTTAAAAGTTGAGTTACACGGATAATGTCAGAAAGATGTGTAACATTTGAAAGTTGGAATGAGGTTTCTGAGTGAAAGTATGAATGAACAGTTAGCAGTTGAAGTCGCATGAAGATTTGTTGAAGTCTGAAGAATATCTCCATTGACTTCAATGTTAAAAATGTGATGTATTATGGGATGTATCTCTGGAATTATGAAAGTTATGAATGATAAAAGTAATAGCCATCGATTCCCGACCGAGCTGAACGTTTTGATGTTTGAACGGAGTTTCTGCGATGTTGAATGTGGGAGGAGAAGACGGACAAAATAATTGGATGGAATAATAAGAATTTTGTCCGTAGCATAACATTTAGTGGGAATGCTGTTAACAGCATTCCCACTAAATAACCAGGAGAGAGAAAAAAGGAGAGGAAACTGAGATAGAAAGCCACAAAGTGAGGTTTTAATGGATAAAGAAAAAGGGCTCACCAGCCAACTTGCAAAGCAAACCAAAATAAAACAATACACGAACAAACTGGAGCACATCTCCTAACACTTCACAAAAACACAGGCCTCACACAGAGACAGAGACATGCTGCACACATGCAGCCAGAGGAGAAGGGGAGAGCGACTGCAGCCTTCCTCAGGTCCTATATGGAGGCCCTGATTGGGGATTGGGAGCACCTGGGGGAGAGGCTGCACCTGGAGACAATCAGGGAGAGAGAGAGACACACACAAATGCACACACAAGCACCGACTGCGGCACGTAACAGTTGGTCTCTAACAGATGTGTGTGTTGGTCTCTAACAGATGTGTGTGTTGGTCTCTAACAGATGTGTGTGTTGGTCTCTAACAGATGTGTGTGTTGGTCTCTGCAGGGCTTCATTGTGATCGGAGCCAATCTTCACTTCACCAAAGGACTGAGAGAAATGATGGAAGGCAACAACCAGGAATAGACAGACACCGTGTAAACATGTACGATGACAAACATATGTATTTGTATGTAAAACAATAAAATACCCTTTGAAATGACCTCTAATTCTCTGCTTCAGTTTCTACAATGAAAATGTGTTTGATTCTTTAAACTGCTGACAACAGTCCTCCTAAATTCAGAATATAAAAATGGTCGTTTGGATAATTAGTTTGATGATTCCTGAGGTTTTGATTGGCTGCTCGTTTTTCTCAGCAGGAAGTTTCAAATATATATATTTGTTCTTCTTTACTAAAGTAGTATCCAGTCACCACACAGGGGTCTAACCTTCATTCTTTAAACATTAGAGCAGTACATCCTTGTTACCATGCACGTTTACCAGAGGTGGAGAAGTACTGAGATCTTGTACTTGAGTAAAAGTAGAAGTACTCAGATCGTGTACTTAGTAAAAGTAGAAGTACTCAGATCTTGTACTTAGTAAAAGTAGAAGTACTCAGATCTTGTACTTAGTAAAAGTAGAAGTACTGAGATCTTGTACTTGAGTAAAAGTAGAAGTACTCAGATCGTGTACTTAGTAAAAGTAGAAGTACTCAGATCTTGTACTTAGTAAAAGTAGAAGTACTCAGATCTTGTACTTGAGTAAAAGTAGAAGTACTCAGATCTTGTACTTAGTAAAAGTAGAAGTACTCAGATCTTGTACTTAGTAAAAGTAGAAGTACTCAGATCTTGTACTTGAGTAAAAGTAGAAGTACTCAGATCTTGTACTTGAGTAAAAGTAGAAGTACTCAGATCTTGTACTTGAGTAAAAGTAGAAGTACTCAGATCTTGTACTTAGTAAAAGTAGAAGTACTCAGATCTTGTACTTAGTAAAAGTAGAAGTACTCAGATCTTGTACTTGAGTAAAAGTAGAAGTACTCAGATCTTGTACTTGAGTAAAAGTAGAAGTACTCAGATCTTGTACTTGAGTAAAAGTAGAAGTACTCAGATCTTGTTCTTGAGTAAAAGTAGAAGTACTCAGATCTTGTACTTGAGTAAAAGTAGAAGTACTCAGATCTTGTACTTAGTAAAAGTAGAAGTACTCAGATCTTGTACCTGAGTAAAAGTAGAAGTACTCAGATCTTGTACTTAGTAAAAGTAGAAGTACTCAGATCTTGTACTTGAGTAAAAGTAGAAGTACTCAGATCTTGTACTTAGTAAAAGTAGAAGTACTCAGATCTTGTACTTAGTAAAAGTAGAAGTACTCAGATCTTGTACTTGAGTAAAAGTAGAAGTACTCAGATCTTGTACTTAGTAAAAGTAGAAGTACTCAGATCTTGTACTTAGTAAAAGTAGAAGTACTCAGATCTTGTACTTGAGTAAAAGTAGAAGTACTCAGATCTTGTACTTGAGTAAAAGTAGAAGTACTCAGATCTTGTACTTGAGTAAAAGTAGAAGTACTCAGATCTTGTACTTAGTAAAAGTAGAAGTACTCAGATCTTGTACTTAGTAAAAGTAGAAGTACTCAGATCTTGTACTTGAGTAAAAGTAGAAGTACTCAGATCTTGTACTTGAGTAAAAGTAGAAGTACTCAGATCTTGTACTTGAGTAAAAGTAGAAGTACTCAGATCTTGTTCTTGAGTAAAAGTAGAAGTACTCAGATCTTGTACTTTAGTAAAAGTAGAAGTACTCAGATCTTGTACTTAGTAAAAGTAGAAGTACTCAGATCTTGTACCTGAGTAAAAGTAGAAGTACTCAGATCTTGTACTTAGTAAAAGTAGAAGTACTCAGATCTTGTACTTGAGTAAAAGTAGAAGTACTCAGATCTTGTACTTAGTAAAAGTAGAAGTACTCAGATCTTGTACTTAGTAAAAGTAGAAGTACTCAGATCTTGTACTTGAGTAAAAGTAGAAGTACTCAGATCTTGTACTTGAGTAAAAGTAGAAGTACTCAGATCTTGTACTTGAGTAAAAGTAGAAGTACTCAGATATTGTACTTGAGTAAAAGTAGAAGTAGTCAGATCTTGGACTTGAGTAAAAGTAGAAGTACTCAGATCTTGTTCTTGAGTAAAAGTAGAAGTACTCAGATCTTGTACTTGAGTAAAAGTAGAAGTACTCAGATCTTGTACTTAGTAAAAGTAGAAGTACTCAGATCTTGTACTTAGTAAAAGTAGAAGTACTCAGATCTTGTACTTGAGTAAAAGTAGAAGTACTCAGATCTTGTACTTGAGTAAAAGTAGAAGTACTCAGATCTTGTACTTGAGTAAAAGTAGAAGTACTCAGATCTTGTTCTTGAGTAAAAGTAGAAGTACTCAGATCTTGTACTTGAGTAAAAGTAGAAGTACTCAGATCTTGTACTTAGTAAAAGTAGAAGTACTCAGATCTTGTACCTGAGTAAAAGTAGAAGTACTGTGATCTTGTACTTGAGTAAAAGTAGAAGTACTCAGATATTGTACTTGAGTAAAAGTAGAAGTAGTCAGATCTTGGACTTGAGTAAAAGTAGAAGTACTCAGATCTTGGACTTGAGTAAAAGTAGAAGTACTGTGATCTTGTACTTGAGTAAAAGTATAAGTACTCAGATCTTGTACTTGAGTAAAAGTAGAAGTACTGTGATCTTGTACTTGAGTAAAAGTATAAGTACTCAGATCTTGTACTTGAGTAAAAGTAGAAGTACTCAGATCTTGTACTTGAGTAAAAGTAGAAGTACTCAGTTCTTGTACTTGAGTAAAAGTAGAAGTACTCAGATCTTGTACTTCAGTAAAAGTAGAAGTACCAGAGTGTAGGAATACTCTGTTTCAGTGAAAGTCCTGCATTCCAAAGCGTACTAAAGTACAGCCTCAGGTCGAAGATAAATTAACACATTTTGATAAGATAGTTCAACGTGTAATGTTACATCAGATAAAGATCATTTATCAAACAGTAAACCTTTAGTTATGATGACTTTTTATTAATCGGTTCATTCATTTCAGTTATTCATTACTTTACATTTTTAAACAGCGCAGACTGGTTTCTGTGTGACTAAGGAGGCCGACAGCTGCAACGAGCTGCAACGTCACAAAGCTCTTCCATCACGAGAAACATCTTCAGCAACAACACGTGCAGCTTTTAGAGAACATTCAGCACCTTGAGGAGACATGGCAGCGTTTACTAAAAGCTGCAGAAACCAAACGCTGCAAATACAAAACACAACGGAAGTGTTGCAGCGTGTTTCTCCTGGTGGAAGAGCTTTGGTTCCTCGTAGCGTCACACACAATATGATACATTTGATTTTAAATTAAGAATAAAGATGTGGGTTTTTCTGTCAGATCTGAAATCGTCGGTCAGAGTGCACTCATTTCGGCGATGCCGTCGTAACCGTGGAAACCACACTTCCTGCCGGCGACCCTGCAGCCGAAGGTCAAAGCGTCCTGAAGACTGCCCCCTGCAGGTCATTAAATACAGAACACAGAATAAAGGTTATTTATGGACAGTGTAATGTCTCCTGTTGGACAGTGTAATGTCTCACAGTTGGACAGTGTAATGTCTCACAGTTGGACAGTGTAATGTCTCACAGTTGGACAGTGTAATGTCTCCTGTTGGACAGTGTAACGTCTCCTGTTGGACAGTGTAACGTCTCACAGTTGGACAGTGTAATGTCTCACAGTTGGACAGTGTAATGTCTCACAGTTGGACAGTGTAATGTCTCCTGTTGGACAGTGTAATGTCTCTAGTTGGACAGTGTAATGTCTCACAGTTGGACAGTGTAATGTCTCACAGTTGGACAGTGTAATGTCTCACAGTTGGACAGTGTAATGTCTCACAGTTGGACAGTGTAATGTCTCCTGTTGGACAGTGTAATGTCTCACAGTTGGACAGTGTAATGTCTCCAGTTGGACAGTGTAATGTCTCTAGTTGGACAGTGTAATGTCTCCTGTTGGACAGTGTAATGTCTCACAGTTGGACAGTGTAATGTCTCACAGTTGGAAAGTGTAATGTCTCACAGTTGGACAGTGTAATGTCTCACAGTTGGACAGTGTAATGTCTCACCATTGGACAGTGTAATGTCTCCTGTTGGACAGTGTAATGTCTCACAGTTGGACAGTGTAATGTCTCACAGTTGGACAGTGTAATGTCTCCTGTTGGACAGTGTAATGTCTCTAGTTGGACAGTGTAATGTCTCACAGTTGGACAGTGTAATGTCTCCTGTTGGACAGTGTAATGTCTCTAGTTGGACAGTGTAATGTCTCACAGTTGGACAGTGTAATGTCTCACAGTTGGACAGTGTAATGTCTCACAGTTGGACAGTGTAATGTCTCACAGTTGGACAGTGTAATGTCTCCTGTTGGACAGTGTAATGTCTCACAGTTGGACAGTGTAATGTCTCCAGTTGGACAGTGTAATGTCTCTAGTTGGACAGTGTAATGTCTCACAGTTGGACAGTGTAATGTCTCCTGTTGGACAGTGTAATGTCTCACAGTTGGACAGTGTAATGTCTCCAGTTGGACAGTGTAATGTCTCTAGTTGGACAGTGTAATGTCTCCTGTTGGACAGTGTAATGTCTCACAGTTGGACAGTGTAATGTCTCACAGTTGGACAGTGTAATGTTTCCTGTTGGACAGTGTAATGTCTCCTGTTGGACAGTGTAATGTCTCCTGTTGGACAGTGTAATGTCTCTAGTTGGACAGTGTAATGTCTCCTGTTGGACAGTGTAATGTCTCACAGTTGGACAGTGTAATGTCTCCTGTTGGACAGTGTAATGTCTCACCATTGGACAGTGTAATGTCTCACAGTTGGACAGTGTAATGTCTCACAGTTGGACAGTGTAATGTCTCCTGTTGCACAGTGTAATGTCTCCTGTTGGACAGTGTAATGTCTCACCATTGGACAGTGTAATGTCTCACCATTGGACAGTGTAATGTCTCACAGTTGGACAGTGTAATGTCTCACAGTTGGACAGTGTAATGTCTCCTGTTGGACAGTGTAATGTCTCACAGTTGGACAGTGTAATGTCTCACAGTTGGACAGTGTAATGTCTCACAGTTGGACAGTGTAATGTCTCACAGTTGGACAGTGTAATGTCTCACCATTGGACAGTGTAATGTCTCCTGTTGGACAGTGTAATTTCTCACAGTTGGACAGTGTAATGTCTCCTGTTGGACAGTGTAATGTCTCACAGTTGGACAGTGTAATGTCTCACAGTTGGACAGTGTAATGTCTCACAGTTGGACAGTGTAATGTCTCACAGTTGGACAGTGTAATGTCTCACAGTTGGACAGTGTAATGTCTCACAGTTGGACAGTGTAATGTCTCACAGTTGGACAGTGTAATGTCTCCTGTTGGACAGTGTAATGTCTCACAGTTGGACAGTGTAATGTCTCCTGTTGGACAGTGTAATGTCTCACAGTTGGACAGTGTAATGTCTCCTGTTGGACAGTGTAATGTCTCTAGTTGGACAGTGTAATGTCTCTAGTTGGACAGTGTAATGTCTCACAGTTGGACAGTGTAATGTCTCACAGTTGGACAGTGTAATGTCTCACAGTTGGACAGTGTAATGTCTCCTGTTGGACAGTGTAATGTCTCTAGTTGGACAGTGTAATGTCTCACAGTTGGACAGTGTAATGTCTCCTGTTGGACAGTGTAATGTCTCTAGTTGGACAGTGTAATGTCTCTAGTTGGACAGTGTAATGTCTCACCATTGGACAGTGTAATGTCTCCTGTTGGACAGTGTAATGTCTCACAGTTGGGCAGTGTAATGTCTCCTGTTGGACAGTGTAATGTCTCTAGTTGGACAGTATAATGTCTCACAGTTGGACAGTGTAATGTCTCACAGTTGGACAGTGTAATGTCTCCTGTTGGACAGTGTAATGTCTCACAGTTGGACAGTGTAATGTCTCCTGTTGGACAGTGTAATGTCTCCTGTTGGACAGTGTAATGTCTCACAATTGGACAGTGTAATGTCTCACAGTTGGGCAGTGTAATGTCTCCTGTTGGACAGTGTAATGTCTCTAGTTGGACAGTGTAATGTCTCACAGTTGGACAGTGTAATGTCTCACAGTTGGACAGTGTAATGTCTCCTGTTGGACAGTGTAATGTCTCTAGTTGGACAGTGTAATGTCTCCTGTTGGACAGTGTAATGTCTCCTGTTGGACAGTGTAATGTCTCACAGTTGGACAGTGTAATGTCTCACAGTTGGACAGTGTAATGTCTCACAGTTGGACAGTGTAATGTCTCCTGTTGGACAGTGTAATGTCTCCAGTTGGACAGTGTAATGTCTCCTGTTGGACAGTGTAATGTCTCTAGTTGGACAGTGTAATGTCTCACAGTTGGACAGTGTAATGTCTCCTGTTGGACAGTGTAATGTCTCCTGTTGGACAGTGTAATGTCTCCTGTTGGACAGTGTAATGTCTCTAGTTGGACAGTGTAATGTCTCCTGTTGGACAGTGTAATGTCTCACAGTTGGACAGTGTAATGTCTCACAGTTGGACAGTGTAATGTCTCCTGTTGGACAGTGTAATGTCTCACAGTTGGACAGTGTAATGTCTCCCGTTGGACAGTGTAATGTCTCACCATTGGACAGTGTAATGTCTCACAGTTGGACAGTGTAATGTCTCCTGTTGGACAGTGTAATGTCTCCTGTTGGACAGTGTAATGTCTCCTGTTGGACAGTGTAATGTCTCACAGTTGGACAGTGTAATGTCTCCTGTTGGACAGTGTAATGTCTCACAGTTGGACAGTGTAATGTCTCACAGTTGGACAGTGTAATGTCTCACAGTTGGACAGTGTAATGTCTCACCATTGGACAGTGTAATGTCTCCTGTTGGACAGTGTAATGTCTCACAGTTGGACAGTGTAATGTCTCCTGTTGGACAGTGTAATGTCTCACAGTTGGACAGTGTAATGTCTCCTGTTGGACAGTGTAATGTCTCACAGTTGGACAGTGTAATGTCTCACAGTTGGACAGTGTAATGTCTCACCATTGGACAGTGTAATGTCTCACCATTGGACAGTGTAATGTCTCCTGTTGGACAGTGTAATGTCTCACAGTTGGACAGTGTAATGTCTCACAGTTGGACAGTGTAATGTCTCACAGTTGGACAGTGTAATGTCTCACAGTTGGACAGTGTAATGTCTCCTGTTGGACAGTGTAATGTCTCACAGTTGGACAGTGTAATGTCTCACCATTGGACAGTGTAATGTCTCCTGTTGGACAGTGTAATGTCTCACAGTTGGACAGTGTAATGTCTCCTGTTGGACAGTGTAATGTCTCTAGTTGGACAGTGTAATGTCTCACAGTTGGACAGTGTAATGTCTCACAGTTGGACAGTGTAATGTCTCACCATTGGACAGTGTAATGTCTCCTGTTGGACAGTGTAATGTCTCACAGTTGGACAGTGTAATGTCTCCTGTTGGACAGTGTAATGTCTCACTGTTGGACAGTGTAATGTCTCACAGTTGGACAGTGTAATGTCTCCTGTTGGACAGTGTAATGTCTCTAGTTGGACAGTGTAATGTCTCACAGTTGGACAGTGTAATGTCTCACAGTTGGACAGTGTAATGTCTCCTGTTGGACAGTGTAATGTCTCTAGTTGGACAGTGTAATGTCTCCTGTTGGACAGTGTAATGTCTCCTGTTGGACAGTGTAATGTCTCACAGTTGGACAGTGTAATGTCTCACAGTTGGACAGTGTAATGTCTCACAGTTGGACAGTGTAATGTCTCACAGTTGGACAGTGTAATGTCTCACCATTGGACAGTGTAATGTCTCCTGTTGGACAGTGTAATGTCTCTAGTTGGACAGTGTAATGTCTCACAGTTGGACAGTGTAATGTCTCTAGTTGGACAGTGTAATGTCTCACAGTTGGACAGTGTAATGTCTCCTGTTGGACAGTGTAATGTCTCACAGTTGGACAGTGTAATGTCTCCTGTTGGACAGTGTAATGTCTCCTGTTGGACAGTGTAATGTCTCCTGTTGGACAGTGTAATGTCTCCTGTTGGACAGTGTAATGTCTCTAGTTGGACAGTGTAATGTCTCCTGTTGGACAGTGTAATGTCTCCTGTTGGACAGTGTAATGTCTCTAGTTGGACAGTGTAATGTCTCCTGTTGGACAGTGTAATGTCTCACAGTTGGACAGTGTAATGTCTCACAGTTGGACAGTGTAATGTCTCCTGTTGGACAGTGTAATGTCTCTAGTTGGACAGTGTAATGTCTCACAGTTGGACAGTGTAATGTCTCCTGTTGGACAGTGTAATGTCTCTAGTTGGACAGTGTAATGTCTCCTGTTGGACAGTGTAATGTCTCACAGTTGGACAGTGTAATGTCTCACAATTGGACAGTGTAATGTCTCACAGTTGGACAGTGTAATGTCTCCTGTTGGACAGTGTAATGTCTCTAGTTGGACAGTGTAATGTCTCCTGTTGGACAGTGTAATGTCTCTAGTTGGAC